TGTTTTTCAAAGCAGTACAGACTGGTAACATTGCCTGCAGCGACATGTGAAATTGGAAACTAAAATAGAAATGTATTTGGAAAGTACAGCATCCTGAACCAAAATACTATTTGTAGTCACTGCAGGAAACAACTTGGGCATCCCAGATCCCTGACTGACTTATCAGACATGTATCTCTGCAGAGTGAGGCCACTTCCCTTGTGCTACAGACAGCACTCATCTTCAGGCTCTTCTGTTCAGCAGTGAAACCAGTGTGACAGACTGCTGCTTACTGCATCTCAGCGCTGAGACTTCTGCTCTAGCACCTCCAGCAGGTCACAGTCTGACTTTTCACTGACCCGGTGACACTTCTCAACATCTGGAACCAGTTGTGTACAGACATTGATGGTTCCCAGAGGAGGAATCCTGCAGATTTGTAGTTCAGAGAACCTTTACAGTAGCAATACCAAAGTGTAAAAAATACTCTGTTACAAGCAAAAGTCCTGCATTCTGAATGTTACTTAAGCAAAGGTAAAAAAGTATTAGCATCCAACTATACTATTAGCAAAGGTACCAGTAGTCATTCTGCAGAATGGCCCATTTATTATTATTATTATTATTGTGTTCATCTGTTTAATGTTACAAAGATATTTTTGGCACTTCAGCTAAAAATTGACTTAATTAAATCAGGATTAAAATTATTTTTGTATAGTGAACCATCATTTCAACCCCTATTTTCAGGTCATGCAACTGTTTTCGTTCCCTGATTCCCTTTCTTCATTTATATTTGAGCTCTATTTGCTTATTGTCATCAACATTAACACCACATACAGTATTTTACTGCCTATCCCACAGCTGCACCTGCAATTCCAGTTTGTGAAACACAAGGCGGAGGTTCTTATATGTTCAGCTTAAGTTAAGAGAAAAGCTGTGAATGCAGAGCAGACATTTTTGTCTCCACTTGTCCACCTGTGGTGCAGGATGTCGATGTCCTGATGTCAGCTTTATTGGCCAGATGTGCTGGACACATCAGGAATTTGGTTTGGGTACAGTGGCTCTCAATGTGTATGTACGTGTCCTTCTGTAAAGCAGTGAATAGACAAGTAAACAATATAAGGCTGAGAGAACAAAAAGGAAAGAAAGAGAATGTGCAAACAAGAAAAAGTAATGTACATTAGGAAAAAATTAAAATAAAGTACTTATAAAATAAAAAACTATATATACACACAGTTTGATATATACAAAGGTGTATTTACAGGGTTGTTGTCCTGTTATACAGTCACAGGTTAATAATCCTGCTTTCCAAGCTTTGACTGGGTTGACTGGTTTTTCAGGCTGACACTCCATGCCCATTCACCTCTGAACCAGGCGCAATCATGTTCCAGTCCAACACATCCTTAACCCAGTGGCAGGGTGTGTATTGTGTCGTTAAAACTTTCCTCCACAGTCAAAAAGTCCACAAGCCACCCTCAAGTTTTCTTTTTTCTATTGTTCTGCCATTTCAGCCAAACGATCCAAAATGTTAGCGTGACTATATCTTTTAAATCCCCATGAGTTTCCAGACATATCCACATCAGAATGAGTGAGAAGAACTCTGTGTGGGTGCTCCAGCATATGCAGGTCCTCATTGCTCTGAGGAGCATCCTGGCAGCTTGAGGGAGGTGACAGACACAGTGGGGGAAGCACGGCAGTGCTGAATTGCTTCGGACTTGAGCATTACAAGCTCCTACAGTGGAATCTGAGAGCACCTGCAGAAGGGAGCTGTAGTTGGAATTATGATGTATGTTCTGCTGTGATATCAGACTTTTTTATGCATAAGGAAGCTTGTAATACACACAGTCCTGCACTGAGTCTGGATAAAATGTGTATTAGCTCTTCATACAGAACGACATGTTAATTAAAAGGCTGGCACATGCTGTACAAATCTTTGCTACTTCTGTCCTCTAATTGAGAAGTATTCACAGTTCAACAGAGGTCAATGACCTAAAGGCAGTTAAGTCACTGAACTGTCTGATAACAGAACATAAAATCCCTCAGGATTTTAGCAGATGAGATTTATGTGTTTCATATTCCTGACGCCAGCTCTGAGGGCAAACTGGCCTGTGAATGTAAAAGCCTGAGCCCCACGTCCCCCTCTGGCCCCTGTTGGTAAAGTGATAGTGTGTTATTTGATTAACCTGTAATTAGCAGGCAGAGCCGAGCACTCAAACAGCAGCCTCAGTCCATTTACCAGTCACTCCAGTATAATTAGCCCTGCACACTGCAGCAAAGGCTTCCTCACTGTGATGGCATGGGGGCAGAGAGAAACTCAGGTCACCAGTCACAACTCTTCACTCATGCCATTTGTGGTTTTATCTTAAAAGACATGCTGCTTTTATTTATGTCTCCTCCCTCACATGACCGGCTTTGAAGGATGCTGTGACTCCAATTAGTAGTGGAACGTGTGGCGGCATGTTCAGGTGCAAACCCTGCAACCAGAGGTTCTACTTGTGTAGATGGACCCACTACACAACAGCTTTTATGGAAACCTTCTTACTTATGAAGTCTGGATTGTGCCACTGGAATAATTAAAACGTTTTACAATACTACATTATAATTATCTGATTACAACCAATACATTAATCTTTTAAATATAAAACCACGATACATTAATTGAAAATGATTAAAAAAATGTCAGTTATTAATTCATATTTAAAGATGGAGTAAGGAAACTGGCAAACTGAATTATCTTCCCAGTGTGAGAATGGTCAGATGGATTTATATGAGCAGAAAAGTCAGTCAGGTTTTATGTACATGACCACTGAGATGTTGAATATGTGGTCATTTCTTTCATATGTCTGTTCCAAACTCGAGAGGTCAAAGGGGACTAAATCAGAAGGTCGGTACACTGCAGGCGATCAGAATCTGGAAGGGCATAGGCAAAAACATGGTGATCAAAAATAGCAATCCAAGGTCAGAAACAGAGAGTCAGGCAAGGAATAAATACTGGAGAGTCATAGCTGGGGTCTAGAACAATCTGGCAGCTTCCTGGTGGGAGGACGCTGCCTAAATAGAAGTAAAAACAGGTGCAAACAATAAGGAGCAGGTGAACTAATGATGATTAAGTAAAAGGGCCAAAACTGAGGTGAAACAAAACAGGAAGTAATGTGAAAATAAAAGCATGACAGGAAGCAAGAGGGGCAGGAGCGTGACAAACGTGTGATAAACTCAATTTTAAATGAAATCTCCTCAGCACACCGGGTGCATGGCTGCAGGCGTAACCACAATCATGATGAGAGCACGGAGTGTATTTGAGGATGCTGAGTGAATTTGATCTGTTTTTGTAGGGGCGGCTTGATAGGGGTGGATGATTTGAAACAGTCTAATTTAGGAAGCAGCTGAAGAGATAGACAGGACACAAGTATTGATGTACTGTGGGTGTGTATGCTCATACATTTACAACCCAGATTTTGCTGTGCAGACACAGTGAGGCGATGAAGATTGTTGAGGAAACTGATGATATGGAGATCAGTACAAAGGTACTGAGAGGAAGGCAGAAAAAGCATAGACTTAGAAAGAAGTGGGGCTTTCTGCTGCGGACATCTTCCTGTGGTACCAGTGGTTACAGGTGACCTTGTTTGAAGACTGAATGGTTTCTTGTCTGTGTTTATCAGTGTGTCCCTTGTCCTCATCACTTCACATTCATTCATGTGTGCATTGTCATTTTTGCTTTTTATGCATTGTTTAGTTGCTTGTCGAAGGACAGCTGTGAGTGTGTGCTCCAGGCCTCATTCTAAAATTACATCTATTGTATTATCCAGACTTTATGACTTTGCACTTTAGAAAAATGGGCCATTCACACACTTTGAAACATGACATGAAAGCAGATTTTACCCAATGATTTAGTTTTGCCTCCTTTCTTATCAACAAATGTAAAATGTACAGAATATTTTTGACCCTATATTCTATTTTGTTTCTTGCAACATGTGTCAAACAAATTCTATTTATCTTGTGTGTAATTTAACCTTTATTGTATCCCTTGCATACCTGTTGTTTCTGGATCTTGTACTGCTGCAACACTAATTTTCCTTTGGGTATAATATAGCTATCTATTGTTAGAAATTAGTAAGTCAGTCAGATAACTATTAAACAATGTGGTGAATCAAATGTTAGTAATGCAATTTAGTAAGATTTCAAGTCTGCTCTAGTCTGCCCTGTTTCAAGGTTAGCAGTAAGCCATGACAGCAATTGTTTTCTTGTATTAATCTTGTGTTAGATTTATGTCTGAATGATTGTTTTAGTTACGCACCACGTAACAACATCCACACACATTGAGCTACCTCATTTTGTTATGACTAGGTAACATGCAGCTGTTCCAAGCCTGTGGAGCTCTAGATAAGAGATGGAGTCTGCTGGACTGATTTCATCTGTGCACGGGAGTGGCCCAAAAACTGATAAATGTATTAGGCTCTGGGTTTCCGGGATCTCCTCTCTCCAGCAGCCAGAGTGTGTGCATGTTTCTGGAGGAAGGAACAACCTGGATCATGTTTCTAATTTTATTTGTGGTTCAAATAAATCAGCACTAAATGAAGAAAGACGGACGCGGTTATTCAGATCTGTCCAATAAAACAACTGGGGTATAACACTATCTATCTATCTATCTATCTATCTATCTGTCTATCTGTCTATCTGTCTATCTGTCTATCTGTCTGTCTGTCTGTCTGTCTGTTTGTCTATCTGTCTGTCTGTCTGTCTGCCTGCCTGCCTGCCTGCCTGCCTGCCTGCCTGTCTGTCTATCTAAATAACTAAACTAAATATCTATCTCTTCTCAGATTTTTTTTATTTTGTACAACTGTATACTTTCTGTTATCCAAACATTCTGAACATTTTTACTAGTACATGATCTATGTGTCCGTTTTTCTAGCTGTTACAAGAAATAACCGATTCCCAAATGAATAAATAAGCATATATTGTATTTTCCTGATAAACACTACCGCCATCTAGCGTCTGAGTACGTAGGTTACGTCTCAGACGCAATCCGATGACGTCACTCCGTTTACTTCTGACGTTGGTGGACTCCAGACGCTGCGGTTCGTCGAGGAAGTTAGCAAAACAGTGATTCAAGCACACTTTTCAGCAAATATACGGCGATTTATAAGGTACGGTTGTGGGAGTTATGTTTTTATTTTGCTTATTTGCTTCGTCACAAGCCAAACAGTGAGCTAAATTGACCTGCTAATCCATGCACATTCCCGATATGGTGCACACTGAACTCTATTTTAAATCTGACCTTTTGAATTTCACGTGCTTACAAATTAAGCACGGCGTTACTTGATCATATAAATAATTGATTTTATATTTTGGAAGTTGCTTTGTGTAATTCGGCCAATGGTCACCGCCGGGTTTAATCTCTTAGTGGTATTTTAAGTGGGACAGTGGAAACAAGGCTTAGTTCACGCTGGTTTTGTGGAGTAGCGTTAGACAAACCAGCAGTTTGTGCCTTATCTCAGTCGTACTTCATGAGCTACTTTTATAAGTCTCGTTGAGTAGAGTTGTATGGTTTACAGCTTTGTAAGAATCCTTAGCTGATTTACTCGTAGTGTGTTTCAAATGTTTACAATGCGACAGAGTGTAAGTTCATTTTATGTCATAGTTTCACAGTTATCTCTAAATCCAGTTCTACCTTAACAGCTGTTACTGACTTAACAGGCCATTTCTCTTGTTTTATGCAGCTTAGAATTCCATTATTTTTGTTTGATTGAACACCTTCAGAAACGTTTAAAAGAGAAGAACTTTAAAAAAATCCCACAATGCAAAGTTTCACCTTTACTGCTGAGACAGTGTGTACATAACTTTTATATGACATGATGTCTGACCTTATTGACAGAAATGGATTTTCTTCACCAGCATCTTTATTAATATTTTCACCTCGACATCAGAGAAGTACATCTGTGTCATAGTCCAACAATAAACATAATACATATTATAATTCTAAATTGAAAATAATTTGGGCAACAGCAGAGGACCATTTACATTTATGCATCACAGCCATCACATTAATTTCAGTCTACATTCTCTATATGAAGAATAAAAGAGCAACTGTTTACCTTTGACGTAGATTCACTGACACTTCTTTAATCCTGTTAGAGGAGTGTGGTCACTGGGTTTCTTCTAACACAGTGAGACATTCATGGTGTTTATCGGCTGTACCTCCAGGACAGTAGGAAATAACTTCCATGTTTTTAATGAAATAACTTTCATGTTTTAATCTAACACGCAGCTGTTGAAACTCGTGTTTGTTGCACTGTAGCTGTACATTGAACTGTGCATGTGTGTGTAGAATCATGGGATTGAGATAATAAACCATAGCAAATCCTCCAGGACAGTAGCTGTACCGTATGAAAAGCTGCTGATGTCTCTCCACAGATCAGACATGGCCCTCACACAAGTGTCTTCCAACAAATGCGCTGGTGGCTTCCAGAAGGTTTTTGAGCATGACAGGTGAGACCTTGAGAGTCAAAGTTTACACCTTAAAACACACCTGTGGCATCAGTGTATACAACCCCAGTGCCAAAAAAGCACGGGATGCTGTGTTAATTGTAAATAAAAACTGAATGAAAGGATTTGTAAATATTTCAAACCCCTTCTTGTTTTATGGAAAAAAAAAAAAAAAGTTCATTTTAAATTTGATGCCAACTCAAAGTTGGGACACGGGTGTGTTTACCACTGTGTTGCTTCATTTCTTCTTTTTAACAACAGTCTGCAAGTGTTTGGAAGCTGAGGAGACAAAGTGTTTTAGTTTTAATGAGAAATGTTTTCCTATTTCTGCTCGATACAGGATTCAGCTGCTCAGCAGTTCAGGGCCTCCTTTGTATTTCTCACTTCATAATGCACCAGATGTTTTCACTGTGCGACAGGTCTGGACTGCAAGTCAGACAGTTCAGCACCCGGACTCTTATAATGGAGCCGTGCTGTTAGACTGTGTGCAGAATGTGGTTTGGGTTTGTGTTGCTGAAATAAAGTGTTGACTGAAAAAGGAATTGGTGGCTTCACAGATGTCCTGTGCACTAATGCTCCCCATGCCAATCAGAATGCTGGCCTTTCAACTGGGTACTGATAACAAGCCGGTTGGTCCCTCTGCTCTTTAGCCCAGAGGAGGTGACGTCCATGATTTCCAGAAAGAATTTCAGATTCTGACTCGTCCTACCACAGAACAGTTTTCGACTTCACCCCAGTCCATCTTAAATAACCTCGAGCCCAGAGATGGTGGCATCTTGTTTATGCTGGATCTTGTTTATGTATGTTTTTTCCTTGTATGGCAGAGCTCTAACTTGCACTTGTGGATGCAGCGATGACCTGTGTTCACGGACGTTCACGGACGGTGGTTTCACTACAGATCATGTCCATTTTTAATGCAGTCACCTGATGGCCAGAGGATCACACTGTTCCTTGGTTTTCAGAGATTTCTCCAGATTCCCTGAATCTGTTAAGAATGTTATGAACTGTAGACGTTGACAAACCCAAAATCTTAGCAATAGTTCAAGTTCAAGGTGTTTATTTGTCATATGCACAGTTAGGAAATGTGTTTCCCTGTACAATGAAATTCTTACTTTGCCGTCCACATGAATGCCACAAAATACAAATGAAATATAAAGTAGTTAAATAGATAACACAAAATCTAAGGCACTTTAAGCAGCGCAGGTGCAGCAATATAGTAGAAAAAAAAATATATACAAGAATATAACAGAATGTATGCTGCATGGGAGCAGCATGTGCAGCAGAGTCGTCGTGCAGGCAATACTACACCGAGAAACATTCTTCTTCATTGTTGAACTGTTTACCACACGGTGTGGTGAACCAACTGGCGGAGCATCGGGGGTGCAAGCAGTGGCGGTTTTTGGCATGGGCGAACCGGGCAGCTTGACAAGGAAGGCCAGAAAGGTCAGATTTTAGTGCAATGTAATAATAAGATTTTCTTTAGTGTGATTTGTGTAATGAAGGATTTGTGCTATTTAGAATATTTATTCTATATTTTATTTGTATATTATTCTTAATATTTTATATTATTGTTCTCTGCTCTTGTTGTATTCTGATTGTATACAAAAAGTGTCAAAAATATGTAGAGAGTATGTTTAAGTTCTGATAACTTCTACTGTTTTGTGCAGAATTGCGGTTTTCAAATGTTCTGTTGAAGGATTTGTGCAATTGAGAAAGAAGTTTGTCTTAAACTTATATTGTGCAATTATATTGCGCTCAGAGGGTGGTCTCGCCCGGGCAGTAATTCAATGTAGAACCGCCACTGGGTGCAAACTCCATCCAGGCTGACACCATCTGGGGCCCTGGACGGGCTCTCCCAGATGTACGAAGGCAAGAGTGGTGCTCAAAGACAAAAGAGACGCGAGACTTAGAATATGCAGTTTCCAGACTGAAGAAACTGGATTATTTTTGATTGTTCTGCATCGATTTCAACAACCGCAGGCATAAATGAGCTAATGTTAGCTAAAAACAAAAGAGGGTGCCCTGGTTAGCAGCGCAGCGGCCCCATCTTCATTACCATGGAGCCGTAGACCAGACTTTCCCACATTTGAAGTCAAGAGATTTGACCAAGACAGATGGTGGAGAACTTTACATAGTGCATGCTCAGCAGAATGTCGTTGAAATAGGTTGAGTACAGTCAGTTTCTAGCTGGTGATGAGCAGGAGAGTTTTTAGGTGCTGTTCATAAATGTACAGACTCGGTGAGGTGAAGTGTAATTTTTGATTGCTTGTATATGTAACAGGTCCGACTTCACTTTGTGTCACAGCCTGTTACTGTTGGTTATACGGAGGAAGATGATTGATTGCAAGATACAATGTAGTAACACAACTCTGTGTTTACATTAGACAGTGTTCAGAAACGCACATAGACTCCCTGTTTTGGATTAGCATATAGTGTTAACAGTTGGACTTTACATGTGTATGAACGAGAGGGAGGGAAGTGGAACAGTGAGGTTACAGGGGCCTGAGGTCAAGAAGGTGCAGGAATTTTAAGTATTTGGGGTCAACGGTCCAGTGACAGATGCTCACGGCTTGGTGGGTCTTTGGCCTGAAAGACTCGGCCTCTCTGGAATGATCACGACACTGATCTGTCATCACTTAACGCTCAGTAGTTATTTCACCGGGTGGTTTTTGAGCATTACACACCTTTTCCAGTCTTTTGTTGCCCCTGTCTGAACTTCACAATAAGCTTATCTAAACTAAAATATATTAATTTGATCATGAGATATCTTGTCTTTGTTTTGTTATCAAATAATTATGGGGTAAAGGGGTTTTCAAGACAGTTCACTCAGGATTTAGATACAATTTACACAGCACCCCAACATTTCTGGAAGTGGGGCTACAGTTTTCACAGGTTTGCACATATTAAAGTAAAAATGTGTGTATTTGTGTTTCTTTTGTGCAGCACTGAACTGAAGTGCAAGATGAAGTTTGCAGTGTACCTGCCTCCCAAGGCTGAGACAGACAAATGTCCTGTCATGTACTGGCTCTCTGGTGAGTGTGCAGTCTGACAGAGCTGCGCTGCAGCGGCTGTCAGGTGATGAATGAGTGAATGATTGTAAGTAAGAATACGGGCTCCACTGGTGCTCTGACTTCCACCCCAGAGGTTCAGATTAAATGGTAAGGGTTGTGTTATTCTACTGTGGTGTTATTAAAAGAACTCAACAGTGTGTTCGGTCGTCGCTCAGCCTTCCTGTGTCTTTCAGTCCAGGTCCATTGGTTCCTACTGAACACACAGCTCAGAAACAGTTTCATTATTATTTAACCAGGAAGTTTCTTGAGATGCATTATGTCCTGGCCAAAATGGCAACACAGAATGTGTATCTCATAGACACATGTAAATGCACACCATTCATTTACAATTTTCACAACAGAACAGGACCTGACATCCCTCATGAAGTGCCTACAGGAGAAACTTTGGGTCAGTCATCAGCACATACTCAGTAGTTTCCCAAAACAGCTGCTCACTCTTACTTTTTATCAGAGAAACAGGAGGGAACAGTGCACCCATTGGGGACTATGTTCAGTGGCGGATGAATCCACATCTGGTCTCCAGTGAGTATTAGTGAACTGTGTGTGTTCATTGTGCTAAAGGAGCATGTCGGTGTGACAGTGTGGTCACTGATGGGTATGGGTCTGACACAGCGGAGGGAGAGCAGGCTGAGATACACACAGTGTTGGTTTGTTGTGAGAGGAAAAATTTAGAAAATGACAAGAATTATGATTTCAAATCTTACATGAGACACAACTCTTATCCTATGAAAGTTCATCTGATTCAAGTGGTGCTTGACAATTTATCTTTGACAAGAGAAAAGGGGTTAATTGTGCTAGAAGTAGAGATTCTGTCTGTGCTGAATGTTTCCTCTGAGGCAGCAGTGACTCCGGGTCCCAGCCGCTCTCTGATGATCAGGTTCCCCTTTGTGTGTCTGCAGGTCTGACGTGTACCGAGCAGAACTTCATCACCAAAGCTGGCAGTCAGCTCGCTGCCGCAGAGCACGGCATCATTGTCGTGGCTCCAGACACAAGCCCCCGTATGACAACACACACAGACTTATTATCCCAGACAGCTTTGCCTTACCGTGAGTGACCCACATGTTCCTTCCTGGTCATCAGTAAACCTGTCACCCACCTCCCATCCTGTCTCAGGTGGTTGTAACATCGAGGGGGAGGATGAGAGCTGGGATTTCGGCACTGGAGCTAGTTTCTTTGTGGATGCCACCCAGGAACCCTGGAGCACCAACTACCGCATGTACTCCTACGTCACTGAGGAGGTGGGCTGGCTTTCTGTCACCTGCTCACATAAACAACTCACTTCTCAGTTTCTGCTAACGTGTGTTCTTGATGATGCCTCGCAGCTCCCCAGAGTGATCAATGCAAACTTCCCCACCAACCCAGACAGGATGTCTATCTGCGGTCACTCCATGGGCGGCCATGGGGCGCTCGTCTGTGCCCTGAAGAACCCTGGGAAATACAAGGTACTTAACCTACTGTGTGTCTGAGAGAGGATGGAGAGAGCTCGGTGTGTAGTGAGTTGTAGGGAAGCAGGTTTCAATTAACTGTTTAGATGTTAATCAATTAAAAAAAAATGACGAGCTGATACAATATCAAAATAGTTTGCACCCCCTTCTCTTCTTCTAACGGTTTGATGCAAATTCCATATGTAGTTTATTTTTCAAATGAGAGCAACTGAATATGACTTGACCAGCAACCACATGTTCACCTGAACTTTGGTCCAGTGTTAGTGCACGTTACTTTGAGCCTTTTGAGGTCATTCAGAAGTTCTGTGGCCGGCTGCCAGTGACAGGAGCATTTAGCAGACTGATATTAATCATGTAGAGTGCAATGTGTGACAGTGCTGCACCGAGAGGAGCAGTGTTTACATTAACATTTAAAGTAAGGCTCATTTTAATAAGTTTCTCTTCACAGTAAGTGCAGCTTACTTTTCCTATTTTCAAGCAGAGTGAGTAGCTGCCGTCAGGGTGTGAGCAGGGCTTAAAAAGCTCTCCCCAGAAAGACCTTAGAAAGTCTGAGAGTCATTAGCACCAGTCTGAACTCATGTCTGTGGGCTGCAGACAATAATGTTCCTGTGTGTAAGGAAGAGGAAGCAGCATCAGCCCTGAAAGGCCAAGTGTCTATTTTAACAACAACCGAATGAAACCAAATGAATTCCATTCCATTCATTTTCAGGTGGTTAATTCATTTTCTATCCTGTCATCACACTATTGCTACATCCTGCTGGAAAGCACTAAAGTTAGAACCGTAGTCGTGAATCATCCCCACTGGTTTTCTGTCACACCTTCACAGTTTGGTTGCTACAGGTATTAGATTTCACTTTATGTGGTATTAAATTCACCAGGACCTGCAGGGCTCTACGTTAACCCAGTGATCTCCGGTCACCTGCAGGCCGGACAGTGCTGAGGCTGACGTGTGGTGCTTTGTCTCCTGCAGGCGGTGTCTGCATTTGCGCCCATCTGTAACCCCATGCAGTGTCCCTGGGGACAGAAAGCCTTCTCAGGATACCTGGGCCCTGACAGGTCTACGTGGGAGGTGAGAGCACTGCTGATAATCACACCCCGACACTGATTCAGTGAGAACTGGTGCCGTCGCCATGAGACATGTCCAGCCAGTTTCCATTAGGGCTGAACGATTTGAGCAAATAATCTAATAGCGATTTAATATGCGATTTTATTAGCTGTTCATTTTCTGTATTAAACTTCAAGCCAAAGACAAGCACTAAGTCATTATATAGTATGACCAACATAATATTAGATTGAACATAAGACCAGGCATGTTATTTGATGAAATTAAATGATGCAT